CTGCGCTGGTGAGGATTCTGCCCAGAACCAAACTCTCACTGTTGTGTTCCAGTTACGGAGTGGCTTTTTCTTTCCATGTCTCTGGTCTGGTTTCGTTCCTGTAACACGGCCACTGGATTTTGTGAGGGGGAATAACATGTGGTTTTGTACAAACACGTTTCTCTGTGTTGTTATTTGGGGAAATGAAGAGGGAGTTGGAGAGGTTGGAGGAAATGGTGGAGAAGGCCTAGCTGCCCTTCTTGGTGAATACACTAACATCACTTCCAGGTTCCAGCCCGCTCTCTGCATTTCTGCCCCGCTTCGTCCTTGGCTCTGAGGAGCCTGCACATGCAGCCCCGCCGGCCCTGGTTGGAGGGCCACCCACCTTCCTCGTCCTCACGCAGCACAGCTGATGGGCTCGTCCGCTGTGTGCCCTGGTTAGGGGGAAACTCGTGGGGGTTCCCCCGGGAGTGGCTGGCTCCTGCAGGGGAGCCTAGTTCTGCTTGTGAGCTAGAGGATGCCATCAGGGCACAGCTTAGACGCGGCCCCAAGGTGGGGACAGGCCTTGTGGGCTGAGGAATCCTCGAGTCTTGCTGTACTTACTCCTAAGCACGGCCTTGGAGAAGCCGCTCAGGAAACGGAAGCTGTGGTCTTCAGGAGGCCACGAACCCGGGAAGCAACAGGAGCGGACTGTCTGCCAGGCGGTGAGCACTGCCCCTGGGGAAGGCAGGCGGTCTCTGCGGTTCCTGAGGCCCTGGCTGTGAGTGCTCCCCCGGGGGCGGTTAGGAACAGCGGGGCCTCTGCACTCGGACCCGGGTCCCTGTAGGATTGGCATGGGCAATGGGCCTGGCTCGGTAAGTCCGGGAGTTGTGGGATCCAGCTGCTTAGCAGGCTCCCGGTTCCTGACGGTTCGCTGCATGGGCCCACGAGTCCAGTGAACCTATGGCTGCTGTGTTCCAGGCATGGGACTTGCATGCAGTGAGGCCATGACCTGAGGAAGGTTGGCCAGGCCACGTGACTCCTTAGGCGGGGGCACCAGGCCTTCTCAGTGAACAGCCCCAATGGGGCTCGATCCCCCCAGTGTTCATGAAGAAGGAACAAGTGTCCTGGGGTGGCGTCTGCAGTCTGCACCGGTGTTCTCCACGTTTCTGTCCCGCTGGGCCATGGCCTGAGGGCTGACCGCATTCTAGGAAACGCCAGTGAGTAACCAGCACCCGTTCATCTGGACGTGATTGCCAGCGAACTCTGGGGACCTTGTAAAGCCCTCTTCCTTCGTCCAGCGGCTCCTGCTGAAGCAGCCCTCTTCCTGGGAACGGGAGCGCCTTGCTCCATGTAAGGAAGCCGTCTCAGAAGGGGTGCCAGGTACATCCTGGTGAATGCTCTCTGGGCGTGCTGCTGCTCAAGCCCAGGACCCGCTCCGGGGCCAGCCTGTCGGGCAGAGCCGTGCCTTGCAGAACGGGGGCGTCTTCCCTCCCTCCTGCCCCGAGGCCTCCAGGCCCTCCCAACCCTGGGAGAGCCAGGTGACTGGTTCCTGGCAGCCACCTTACCCCGCCCTCCGGTCCAGCCTCAGGCCTCAGTGAAGGGGCCGTGCCTGAATCCCGCACAGGGACCCTCAGGACACTGAGACACGAGGCCTCACGCTCTGGTTCCTCAGTTCCACCCTCGGCCATGCCCTCGCTGCCAGCCCAGGAGGGTTGGGGAGTGGAGGGCTCCGGCGGTTATGGCCCTTTGCTCAGGGCTCTGATTTCTGTGGCTGGTTTGGCCCTAACATGATGGGTTCCCCAAGGCCCTCCACGCGGACCATGTCATTCCTGTCCCGCGTGTGCAGCGGCTCCGGGTGCTGGAGAGGCTTAGGCGCCTGCCGGGTGGCCGGACTCCTGCAGACCACCTGCAGCTCCTTCCAGAATTCTGGCTCGCTCTGCGTGGCAGCCCGCTGGAGTGGCCGGGGCTGTGGGGACCAGGGGCTTTGCCACCGTGGCGAAGTCTGGTGTCTCCGGGGGGTGGGGGTCCTTTCCTGGGCTGAGAGCAGCTGAGCGTCCAGAGTGCCTGCAGCAGGGGCCAGGGGTCAGCCTTGAACCAGGGTCCTGACCCTTGCTCCCCCTTTCTTCCTGGCAAGTGGTTGACAGAGGCTCATGCCCAGCACCATTTGGTCACAGCCCCCTGCCCTGCAGCCCAGGCCAGGCTTCTGCCCAGCACACTGCCATGAGAGGCTGCTCAGATACCCTTCCTGTTGATCTAGGTCCCTGGTCAGCAAACCACAGCTCGAGAGTCACATGCGGCTCTTCGGCCCTTTTAGAGTGGCTCTTCCACAAAATACCGCGGGCGCACATACAGTGCGATTGAAACTTGGTGGCCCATGCGCAGAAGTCGGTTTTCGGCCTGGGCGAGTCTGTTTTGACAAAGTGGCGTAGAACACTCAAGGGGCCAAAGAGCCGCATGTGGTTTGTGAGCTGCAGTTTGCTGGCCACGGATCTCGGATGTCCTCGGGACTTGGCAATCACAGCATTAACTCCTACCTGCCCCAGTGGGGGGGGAGGGGGGTGCTGTAGGAAAAGGGACAGAACCCCCATCTTCTGAGTGAGGCCCTCTACATCCTGAAGCCTCTTGTGAAACTGAGACATGGTAACAAAAAGGCGTGAAGTCGAAAGCTTAGTCCAGGCCTTCCCACAGGAGGGTGTGCCCATCGGCAAGATGTGTACGCGGTTAGCAATGAGGCGAGTCAGACCCCAGGAGAGCACTCAGGTGTTCGTGGTTGCTCCGGAGGCTTCACGCAGGAGCCACGTCTTCCTGTGCGGCCTGCAGCATGGCCCAGCCTTGGCAGCTGGAGCCGGACCGCCGCCCCGGGAAGCCAGGGGTGTCTACACAGGGAAGCTGGCCGTCGCCATGGCAATGGGCCTTGGTGCTGGGGCAGGTGGCCAAACCCAGTAAGAGCCTCAGGGGCGCAGAAGTGTTGCCTCACAAGGCATCCCTGGTGCCCCAATGCGGGGACGGGGGCGTGGGGACGTGGTGGGTCTTGGAGACCATCTCCTTTTCTTTCCCATCCAGTTCCTGTACCTTCTCACCCCTTCCCCAGGCTGCCCCGGCCTGTGCCCAGAGAAAACGGCCCATCCGTCCCAGGTCCCCGGCTCTCCACGGCCTTGCACCCCGGAGGCTGAGGCTGCTCCTCCCGTCCGCCCAGCCAGGGTGCTGCCCTTCGTTCTGAGCTGCTGCTGGCACCTGCCAGGGAGGATCAAAGTGGAACGGAGTGGCAATAGTTGATTTAAAAATCCCAAAATGGAAGTCGTAGCAGAACCTGTCCCCAGGAAGGGAAGGGGCTGGCTCCGGAAGGAGGCGTGCCCTATATATATGCCGGGCGCCTGTTTATCTTAACGAAATCAGTGAAGTGAGGAGCGGGAGTAGGTCGGGGTTTTAAGGAAGGTGGAGTAGGGACTCCAGACGTTTGTGATGTTGCAGACGGCCACGGCCCGTCCACGAGGCTGCTCCAGCACAGGAAGGAGGCAGCCCGCAGGCATGTGCACCCCCCCCCCCCAATCACCCGAGTCGAGGAGACGGGAGCCGCCTGCCGGAAGCCCTCCTCAGCCTCCGCTCAGAGAAGGTCGTCTTCCTGTCCTGCATGTGCTGTCCCCAGAGGCAGTATGAAGTCAAAGGAAAAATACCCTGTGATGTCACGTCTGTGGGACCTAAACAAACCAAATAGAGGTGGACAAAGGAGGGACAACGGCCAGCGGAGGGTGTGAGGGCCTGGCTGGAGGAGGTGAGGGGTTATGGGAAAAGCCTCAGGAACAGGATGGTGATTACCAGGGCGAAGGGGGTGGGGGGGCGAGAGGAAAGGGGGAAGGAAGGTGATGGAAGAGACGTGACTTTGGGTAGTGAACGCACAATATACAGATGACATGGAATCGTATACCTGGAACCTATGTAATTTTATTAACCAATTTCACCCCAATATATTCAATAAGTAAAAAAAAAAAAACAAAAAAAAAAAACTCCCTTTGCAAGAAGCTCCAGAGACCATGGATCTGGGCGGAGTGTGGCTGTTGCCTTCACCCACCTGTGCCTCCTCCAGCCCCGGGCCCTCCCTCCGCCCGCCCTGCTCGCTGGAGTGAGGCATGGTGGTCTGCCGGGCAGGGGCAGGCCGGGGCGGCTTGGCGGGGAGGGCTGGAGCTGAGCGCCCGGTGCGGGCTTGCAGGCGGACCAGGAGGAGGAAGCCTGCAGCAGCAGGGGGTCCAGTGAGACACCGGTCTGAGCGAGGTAACCCCATCCCAGCGCTGAATCTCCTTAGTCACCGGGAGGATGCGGCTCCCCGGGGACAGACCGGAGCGTCTCAGTAACAGGTGCTCGGCTGTGACCCAGGTATCCCGGGGTCAGTGACCAGGAGGTGATAAACTGAGAGGCAGGTGGCCACTGCCCGGCCCGCAGGGCTGCGGGGTGAGTGTCCGGGCGGACGGATGCCTGGCCTGGCGCCCGCAGCCCCCGGAACCTGAGCCGGTGCCCGGCCCGTGGGGCGATGCTTCCGGAGGGAAGGCCCTCCCCGGGGAGGCGCGGCGGCCCCAGGGAGGCCTCCCGGCCCCGGCCGCCCTCCCGGGCTGAGCGCCTCGGAGGATTAGGCTGATCCGCTTAGAGCCGCCGCCGCGCCCGCCCGGCCGCCCTCCTGGGCACCCGGAGACCCGGACCTTTCCGCTCTCCGCCCAGCACGAGGTGGGCAGACATCCCGGAGGCGCCCTGCGCCGGTTCGTGCGGCTCGGGCTCCCGCCCTGCGGCCCTCGGCCCCGCCCCGATCTGCGGCGCGGCCCCCGCCTCCAGCCCCCGCCTCCGGGCCGCGCGGGGTGGCAGGCGGGCGGGCGTGCTCCTCGCGGTGAGGCCGCGCCAGCGCCGCGCACCTGCCGGCCGCCCCACCCGCGTCCGAGTGTCCGGGCCGCCGGTCTGTCCGTCCCCGCGGCGGCGGAGCGCGTCACCGCCGTGCGGGCGGGCGGCGGCGGGGCGGGGCGGCGCGAGCGGGGCGGCGGCGGGAGGCGCGGCGGGCGGCGGGCACGGGAGCGGCATGCGGCTCCTCGCGCTGCCCATCGCGGGCTGAGACGCCGCAGTCAGTCCGCGGGCAGCGCGGCGGCGGAGCGGAGGCCAGCGAGCGGGACGGACCGCGGGCAGCGCCGGGGCCGCGCCATGGGCCGCGCCGGGGCCGGGGGCCCGGGCCGGGGGCCGCCGCTGCTGCTCCTGGCGGCCGCGCTGGTGCTGGCCGGGGCCGCGCCGGGTAGGTACCGCTGCCCGGACCCGGGGCTCGTCCTCCGGGAGCCGGGACCCGGCCTCGGCCTGGGCGCAGCAGGTCCCCGAGCGGGAGGCCGGGGGCGGGGCAGCGCCTGGCCTGCAGCCGCGCGGGGCCGGGGCCGGGGTGCGAGAGGTGCGCCCAGGGAGGCCGGAGCGTGGGTGCGGCCCCACTGGGTGTGTGGGCCTCGGTGCCGGCTGCGGAGGGGCGGGGGCCGGCCCTGAGGCTGAGACTTAGCGCCGGACTTCGAGGTGCAAGGGGTGCGGGAGGGTGCGAGTTCAGAGCGGGGCCTGGGGGGTGAGGGGGGTGAGGAGGGGACCCTGAGGGTGCCAGTTCAGGGGTGGCCCTGGGGTGGGCGGGGCCCTGGGGTGTGCATTGGGGTGGTGCCTGGTGGGCGGGGCCCTGGAGGTGTGCACCTGGGCGGGGCCTTGAGAAGTGGGCGGGGCCTCGGGCGGGCCAGGCTCTGAAGGTGCAAGCTCAGGATGGGGCCTTGAGGATGCGCTTGGGAGTGGCCTGGGTGGGCGTGGCCTGGGCGTGAGTTCGGGGCGGGGTCGGTGTGGGCGGGGCCTGGGGTGAGCTCGGGGCGGGTCTGGGTGGGCGGGGCCTGGGTGAGAGCTCGGGGCGGGGTCTGGGGTGGGCGTGGCCTGAGGTGAGCTGGGGCGGGTCTGGGTGTGCGGGGCCTGGTGAGAGCTCGGGGCGGGGTCTGGGTGGGCGGGGCCTGGGTGAGAGCTCGGGGCGGGGTCTGGGTGGGCGGGGCCTGGGTGAGAGCTGGGGCGGGTCTGGGTGGGCGGGGCCTGGTGTGAGTTCGGGGCGGGGTCTGGAGTGGGCGGGGCCTGGTGTGAGTTCGGTGCGGGGTCTGGGGTGGGCGTGTCCTGAGGTGAGCTCGGGGCGGGTCTGGGTGGGCGGGGCCTGGGTGAGAGCTCGGGGCGGGGTCTGGGGGGCGGGGCCTGGGTGTTAGCTCGGGGCGGGTCTGGGTGGGCGGGGCCTGGGTGTGAGCTCGGGGCGGGGTCTGGGGTGTGAACTCCGGGCAAGATCCATTCCAGGGCAGCCTTGGCGGGGCCTGGCCAGCCTGCGTGTCATGCGGGCGCGGGGCCTGGCCGGGAAGCCTGGCGGGATGTGCGCCGGGGGCGGGGCGGGGCGGGGCGGGCAGGCTCACAGGTGAGGCCTCGCGTGGGGCCGGAGGACAGCCGGGCGGGGCGGGACGGGGCCTAAAGGCGGGTCCCTGACGCCGCCTCTGCCCGCAGCGCGCGAGGCGGGCAGCGCCGTGGCCGTGGACGTGGACGAGCCCGCACCGACCACCCCCGCGTGGGAGCCGCGAGCCAACGCCACGCGGGCGCCGGCGGGCCCGCCCGGAGCCGGGGCGGCGGAGGCCTGGACGGCGGAGGCCGCGGGGGGCCCCGGGGCGGGCCCGGAGGACGCGCTGGAGGCCTCGGCCGTGACGGGCACCGCCTGGGAGGCCGACGGCCCGGGCCTGGGCGCGGGGCCCGCGGAGGCGGGCAGCGGGGACACGCAGGCCCCGCCCGCCACGCCCCCGGCCGCGGCCCCCGGGCGGCCATCCCTGCCGCCCGCCCCGCCTGAGGCCCCGGGCCCCGGCCCCGGCCCCGGCCCCGCGGAGGACGCGGCGGAGGAGTGGCTGGGCCTGGGCGGCGGCTCCCCGCAGCCCGCGGGGCCGGAGCCCACGTCCCCGCCGCGGGGCCCCCCGGAGCGCCGCCCGGGGCCCGCGGTCCTGGACGTGGACGACCTGGAGGGGCCGGACGGCGGGGGGCCGGAGCGCCGCCCGGAGGCGGACTTCGCGGCCGAGACGCCCTCCTGGAGCCTGCTGGACCTCTACGACGACTTCACCCCCTTCGACGAGTCCGACTTCTACCCGACCACGTCCTTCTACGACGACCTGGACGAGGACGGGGACGGGGACGGGGAGGGCGCGGACGCGGACGCGGAGGGTGCGGACCTGGGGGGCACCCGCCCGGCGCCCGGGCCCGGCACCGGGCCGCCCCCCGGCTGGTGGCACGCCGTCCCCCCGCGCCCCCCGGGCCCGGCCCCCGGCGGCGGCATCGCCCTCCGGCCGCGCCCGGGGGAGCCGGCCCGGGACCCGGCCGCCGGCGAGAACGGCACCGCCTGCCGCAGCGGCTTCGTGCGGCACAACAGCTCCTGCCGCTCCGTGTGCGACCTGCTGCCCAGCTACTGCCACAACGGCGGCCAGTGCTACCAGGTGGAGGGCATCGGCGCCCTCTGCAGGTGAGGGGGGCCCTGCAGGTGAGGGGGTGAGGGGGGCCCTCTGCAGGTGAGGGGGGCCCTCTGCAGGTGAGGGGGTGAGGGGGCCCTGCAGGTGAGGAGGCCCTGCAGGTGAGGGGGGCCCTGCAGGTGAGGGGGTGAGGGGGCCCTGCAGGTGAGGGGGCCCTGCAGGTGAGGGGGCCCTGCAGGTGAGGGGGTGAGGGGGCCCTGCAGGTGAGGGGGTGAGGGGGCCCTGCAGGTGAGGGGGCCCTGCAGGTGAGGGGGTGAGGGGGCCCTGCAGGTGAGGGGGCCCTGCAGGTGAGGGGACCCTGCAGGTGAGGGGCTGAGGGGTGCCCTCTGCAGGTGAGGGGGTGAGGGGGCCCTGCAGGTGAGGGGGTGAGGGGTGCCCTCTGCAGGTGAGGGGGCCCTGCAGGTGAGAGGGTGAGAGGGCTCTGCAGGTGAGGGGGCCCTGCAGGTGAGGGGGTGAGGGGTGCCCTCTGAAGGTGAGGGGGGTCCTGCAGGTGAGGGGGGGCCCTCTGCAGGTGAGAGGATGAGGGGGCCCTGCAGGTGAGGGGGTGAGGGGTGCCCTCTGCAGGTGAGGGGGGCCCTCTGCAGGTGAGGGGGGCCCTGCAGGTGAAGGGGGCCCTCTGCAGGTGAGTGGGGCCCTGCAGGTGAAGGGGGCCCTGCAGGTGAGGGGTGCCCTCTGCAGGTGAGGGGGGGCCCTCTGCAGGTGAGGGGGGCCCTCTACAGGTGAGGGGGGGCCGGCGGGAGCCCAGGAGCTGGGCTGAGCTCTGGGTGTGTGTGTGAGGGGGACCCAGCCCAGGCCCAGCCCAGGCCCAGTTCCCGGGCCGAGGCCCAGCCCAGCTCCCCGGCCCCCGGGAAGAGCTGTCCAGCCTGAGCAGCGCCCGCGGCCCTGTCCCCGGGGGAGGCTCCTCAGGATGAGGTTTGTGTTTCCTCTAAGGGCTGTGCCCCTGACCCAGCCACTGACTCTGCAGGCAAAAGGGCCCTGGCCCGTGTGGCCCAGTGGGTAGAGCGTCGGCCTGTGGACCAAAGGGCCCCGGGTTCAATTTGGGTCAAGGGCACAGGCCTGGGTTACGGGCTCGATTCCCAGGAGGGGGCATACGGGAGGCAGCCGATCAATGGTTCTCTGCCATCCTGGATGTTTCTATCTTTCTCTCCCTCTTCCTTCCTCTCTGAAACCAATAAATATACATTTAAGTGGAGGCAGAGAAGGGGAGGATTTCGGAGTGGGGCCTTTGCTGGCTTGAAGAGTTTTTGGGGAGTTGTGTCTACACCAGCAAAGAGAGACACTGCAGACCACGCCTCTGAGCCACCTGCAGGGCCGAGTCGGGTGGAGGGGGGGTCCCATCAGAAGGAGGCCCTTCTCACTGGGCCAGACCAGCCAGGGAGCAGCCAGCCGAGAGGCCTCCCGGGTGACAGAGGGGCGGGGTTTGACTGGGAACCCCCGTCCAGAGAAGACAGAGCCGGTGCTGTGAGGACGTGGCCTGCAGCACCCGGTGCCTCTGGGATTCTGGTCCCGCCCTCCCAGGGAGGGGAGCCTGCGAGGGAGCCGGCCATGTGGCTGGCGGGCTGCCTCTGCCTCTCCAGGCCGAGCCGGGCAGAGCCTCGGGCTCCGCGGAGACCGTTTCATTCGGTCCTGGCGAGGGTGTTTCCACAGGAGGGTGTCCTTTTAAAAATACATCTTATCACCGAAAGCGGTGCGGCTCCATGGACAGAGCCTCGGCCTGCGGACTGAAGGGTCCCAGGTTCGATTCCGGCCAAGGGCATGTACCTTGGTTGCGGGCACATCCCCGGTAGGGGGTGTGCAGGAAGCAGTTGATTGATGATTCTCTCTCATTGATGTTTCTAACTCTGTCCCTCTCTCTTCCTCTCTGTGAAAAATCAATAAAATATATTTTTTTAAAAATAATAAAATAAAATAAATAAAAATACATCTTATTGATTTCCAAGAGGAAGGGAGAGGGAGAGGGAGAGAAACATCAGTGGTGACAGAGAATCATTGATGGGCTGCCTTCTACATGCCACCCCACCCCCAAACTAGGGATCGAACCCACAACCAGGTCATGTGCCCTGACCAGAATCGAACCCGGGACCCTTCAGTCCGCAGGCCGGCGCTCTATCCACTGAGCCGCACCGGCCAGGGCCTGGATGCCCCTTTAAGAGTCATTCCCAGCGCATCTCTCCGTGGTCTCCGTGGAGGCGTGTGAGGAATGCAGATCCCTTAGGTCTCGGCACTCTGGCAGCAGAGTGGCAGGTAGAAAGCATGGATGTTGTGCCGTTGGCTCTAAACCTTGGCGTCCGGTTCCTTCCCGAGAAGGTGTTTCCCGCACGTGGTCATGGCGCTCGCGTCACTCTGGGAGGGTGTGTCCACACCTTCTGAGCGGAGTTACCAGCCACGGCCAGGGGAGCAGCTGTGACCACGGAACAATGGTGGCCCGGCCGCGTGGCTCCGTGGCTGAGCGTCGACCTAGGAACCAGGAGGTCACAGCTGGATTCCCGGGTTGAGGGCTCGATCCCAGGCCTAAAGGAGGCAGCCGATCCATGATTCTCTCTCATCATGGACATTTCTCTCTCTCCCTTCCTCTCTTTGAAATGGATAAAAATATGTTTAAAACATACAAAAAAAGGAAAGAAAGAACGGTGGCCAGGCCGTGTGGCTGGCTGAGGGCCACAGGAACGGGAGCAGCTTGGGGTTTGCTCCTGGAGGTCACTGGGGAGACCACAGCGATGGATCTAGCGGGAGGTGGGGGTCTCTGTGCAATCCCCGGCACCCGGAGCTCTCGGTGCCCCCTGGTCCCTTCCCGGCCTGGTGTGGCTGTGTGGCCACGGCTCCTCCCAGGGTCCTCCCTCCGCAGGGTCACGGCCACCAGGGCCCCAGGCTGAGCCCCCTCGCCGCTGCGCACGCGGTCGGCTGAGGCGGGAGCGAGCGGTTTTGCATTCCGCGCACAGGAGGCTGCTGAGCTGCAGCTGCAGACCGGCCTTTGTCTCTGCTCCGCGGCTGCGGAGGCCGGGCGGCCGGGCGGGCGGGACTTCTCCCAGCGGCGGCTAGCACCACGAGCCTCCTGCGCCCGGCGGGGAGGGAAGGAATCCCCGTTAGCCATGCCCCCACCCCGCTCCCTCTGGGTGTGGCACGGCCGGTCCTCACTGCTCACCCGGAGGCTCCCGTCCTCCCTGCTTTGCCTGCCTCTGTCTCCTTCCCCATCTTGCCTCTTTGAAGCAGCCTGGTTCCCATGGAAACGGCAATGTCATTGGGAGAGCCGGAGCCTGGGAATGTCCCCAAGGGCAGGGGAAAGTCACTCCACAAAAGAGGAGCCCCCGGGGCGGTTCTCACGCTCTCCTGGGGTTCTCACGGCGGGGGCAGAGAGGGGAGAAGGATGCCCTTGTCCGTCTGCCCGTCAGGGTCTGGTTCGCCCCAGGAGCCAGACGGGGCTGCAGAGCTGGGCGGGTCCTATGACTTTGTGGCCTGGGATCCCATGCAACTCGCGTTTCTCCTTCTTTCACCCGGACCCGGGGCGGGCGGCTGCTGAGCTGGTCCAGCGGGGTGGGGGGTGGGGTTAGGGGTGGGGGGCCAAGCTCCCTTTGCTCCTGACCCTCACAGTCAGCAAACGGCCAGTCCTTCAGTGTCTCGGGCTCTGGTTCCCTTGGTGCCATGGACCCCACAGCAGCCTGACCCTCAGCCCGGGTGGTGATGGGCGGCCGGAATGTCAGCCGTGAGGTCAGCCCAGCTCCCGGGCGGGCGGGCGGCCGGTCCCGGGACCCAGCGGGAGGAAGTGCCATCGGAGGCCAGGCCTCGCCCTGACAGGGCCCCCGCCCACCGCCCATCTCCCCCGCTGGCTGCTGCAGGTGCAACACCCAGGACTACATCTGGCACAAGGGCACGCGCTGCGAGTCCGTCATCACCGACTTCCAGGTGATGTGCGTGGCCGTGGGCGCAGCCGCCCTGGTGCTGCTCCTGCTCTTCATGATGACCGTGTTCTTCGCCAAGAAGCTCTACCTGCTCCGCACCGAGAACACCAAGCTGCGCCGGACCCAGTGAGTGCGCGCCCGCCTGCCGCCCCGCCGCCCGGCCAACGGCCACCCTCCTCCTGACCCACATGTTCTCCGCAGGGTTCCAGGACCGGTTCCACCCCCAGCTCTGTGTGTGTGTGTGTGTGTGTGTGTGTGTGTGTGTGTGTTTAAGAGATTTGATTTCGGAGAGGAAGAGAGAAGGGGACAGAGATAGAAACATCAATGATGAGGGAGAATCATATATATATTTTTTTTTAATTGATTTTTTACAGAGAGGAAGTGAGAGGGATAAAGAGTTAAAAACATCGATGAGAGAGAAGCATTGATCAGCTGCCTCTTGCAAACCCCCCCCCCCCACTGGGGACGTGCCCACAACCAAGGTACATGCCCTTGACCGGAATCAAATATGGGACCCCTCAGTCAGCAGGCCGACGCTCTATCCCCTGAGCCAAACGGGTTTTGGTTTGTGTGTGTTTTTAAATATATTTTTATTGATTTCAGAGAAGAAGGGAGAGGGAGAGAGAGAGAAGCATCAATGATGAGAGAGAAAGAATCATGGATTGGCTGCCTCCTGCACATCTCCCACTAGAGATGAGCAGGAAACCAAGCCTGTGCCCTGACCAGGAATCAAGCCCTGACCTCCTGGTTCACAGGTCGATGCTCACCCCTGAGCCATGCGGCTGGGCCCCAGTTGTGTTTTCACACAAAAGACCCTCCGGGCATCACCATTCCCTCACAGAAAGTGCCGGAATCCGGCAGAGGCTGCGCCGTGCGCTCTGCCGCCGTACAGCCCATTTGTCTCCCACCCATCCCCCCAGAGGCTGCTCAGATAGAGCGTCAGCCTGCGGATCCAAGGGTCCCAGGTTCGATTCCCGGTCAGGGCACACGCCTGGGTTGTGGGCTTAATCCCCAGTGTGGGGCGTGCAGGAGGCAGCCGATCCATGATTCTCTCCTCACGGGTGTTTCTCTCTCCCTCCTCCTCCCTTCCCTCTGAAGCCGATAGGAACATATTTGAAAAGTAAAGATTAACAGCGGCAGGCGTCTCACTCGGTGGCGTGCGAACAGCCGGGCGTCTGTCCCGGCCTCCGTGGCTGCCGAGGTGCCACCGGGGGCCCTGAGCTTCCTCTGCGTTTGCCCCGTCACTCCCTCACGTGCGCCTCCTCTCTCTGTCACTCCAGCAAATTCCGGACCCCGTCCGAGCTCCACAATGACAACTTCTCCCTGTCCACCATCGCCGAGGGCTCGCACCCGAACGTAAGGACCCGCCCGCCTCTGCCCGCTCCCCACCCGCACCCCGCACCCACCCCGCCTCTCGCTCCCCTGACCTCCCTCAGGCCTCCCTCCCCGTGTGTGCTCAGCCTGCTGGGCCTGCGAGTGTCTCCGCGTGCAGAGCCCCCTCAGCTCCCGGGTCCCCAGGGGGCGGCCGGGACGGGGTTGGGGTGGGGAGCCGTGGGCGTGGGAAGGGGGGCTGGATGGCACATCTCTCCCCGGCTCGCAGAGCTGCGGGGTGTAGAGGGGTCCTCCCGCTCTTTCTGCCGAGCAGGAAGCTCGGCCTTCCTTGCGGGGTCCCTGGGGGTCACTGAAGCCAGGAAGGCGGCCCTTTGGGGGGCTGGACACACGTCTGACACAGTTCCGGGACCTTAAGTCCCGGCAGACCTCTAGGCCATGGTGAGGGCAGCGGGGGCCATGGGTCTGGGCCCGACAAACACCAGCTGAAACCCAGGACACCTCCCCACCGACTCCTCCAAAGACCCTGCCCTCTGTGCGCGCTGGGCTCCCAGGCAGAGACCAGGCCCTGTCGGAGGCAGGTCCCAAGGGAGCAGGCCCTGGCCGGTGCGGCTCAGTGGACAGAGCGCCGTCCTGCAGGCTGAAGGGTCCTGGGTTTGATTCCAGCCAAGGGCACAGGCCCGGGTTGTGGGCTCGATACCCAGTGGGGGTTGTGCAGGAGGCAGCCCATCCATGATCCTCTCTCCCTCTTCCCTTCTTCTCTGAAAGCAATTTAAAAATATATTTTAAAAAATTAAAAGGAAAGAAAGTACAACAGCGGCCACCCAATCCTGGAACTCCGCGCCGGGAGCTCCGTGCCCGGGGCGGAGGCTCCAGTGGGCTCACCGGATGGAGCCGGGCCGGAGGCGACCAGGACCACAGAGCCCGGCTCGCGGGGCCTCCACGGAGCTTCCAGGCTGCTCCGCCCTCACAGCTGCCAGGCGCTCGGATATGGCCGCTGTCCCGGGTTCTAGTCTGGGGAGGGGGCAGCTCGGGGGGGGGGGGGAGAGAATGAGGGATGAGTCCTTCACCAGCCCTGAGAAGTGGCTGGGGGTGGGGTGGCACGGAGGGGAGAGGAACGGAGTTAATGGAGGTGACGGTGGAGGAGGAACGGGCTCCAGGAGGTGGGCCGCACCGAGAGACTCCCAGGTTCAAGGCTGGCATCAGAGCCGAGGAGAGGGCGGCCCAAGGATGCAGGCCCCTGCGGGCAATGGGGCTGCTCCTCATGGGGGCTCCACCCCCTCACCCAGCCCCTTGCCTGACGGGCCCCTGTCCTGGTCCAGCCTTCCTTCCTACCCCACCCCCAGCGGGGGGCCTGCGGGAGGCAGCCGGTCCCTGATTCTCTCTCATCATTGACGTTCCTCTCTCCCTCTCCCTTCCCCTCTGACATCAGTACAAACAGATCTTTTTACAAAGGAAGAGAGAACAGTGTTTGCGAGCCTGTCTCCCGCCAAGGTCCCTCGGTCCTCTCCCGCCTTCCGTCTCTGCCCTGCCCCACCCTCACCTCTGTGCCTCTTGCAGGACGACCCCAGCGCCCCCCACAAGATCCAGGAGGTCCTCAAGTCCTGCCTGAAGGAGGAGGAGCCCTTCCTGGCCCAGAACTCCCTGTCGCCCAAGCTGGAGGGCGGCCGCAGGGACCCGGCCCAGCTGGAGCCCAACTGCCTGCAGAACAACCTGACCTGAGGGGGCGGGTGGCGAGGAGGGGGGGCGGGCGGCGAGGAGGGGCCAGGGCGCCCTCGGTAGCTGTGCGTCCAGCTTTTCCTTTTCTGTCTCATGGCATGCTTCGTGTGTGTTGTCCGGGAGGGAGACCGCGGGCCGCGGGCCGAGCAGAGCCGCGTCCGTGGGGGTGTCTGTGCGTCTGTCCGTCCATTGCTTCTGCCGCTGTGGTTTCTAAGCCTCCGCTGTCATCCAGCTGACTTTTTCTTTTTGTACTCGGGCCCACCTTTTTTTGAAATGCCAATAAACACAACAACCGTTCTTGAAATAAAACTTTTTAAAAAGCCGTCCTCCTGGCATCCCATGTCCGCTCCCTCCCCGTCCTCGTCCGCCCGAGTTGAATTCTCGTCTCCCAGGGGGCGGGTGTGTCTGCAGACGTGCGAGTCCCAGAGACGGTGTCAGAGGTGTCTGCTCGCTCCGGCACGGACCCCACAGGCCTGGAGCCGGAGCGGTGGGCCTGCCCCTCTGCGTTCCGGAGGCGGCAGGCCCACCGTCCAGGTGCCGACAGAGCTGGTCTCCGGCGAGGCCTCTCCTGCTTGCAAAGAGCCGTCGTCTCTCTGTGTCCTCGTGCAGCGTTTTCTCTGTGCATGAGAGACAGACAGAAAGACAGAGAGAGGGAGAGGGAGAGAGAGATAAATCTGTGTTTCTCTTCCGATAAGGACACAGCCCTGTTGGGTTAGGTCCCACCATGATGACCTCACTTACCCCACTGGCCTGTCTCCCCACCATCACGTTGGGGTTAGGGCTTCAGCACACGGCTCGGGGGTCACAGACTCGGCCAGTTTGGTCTGTAGCTCCAACTACCAAGCTCACTCTCGGCCCTGGTCAGCGCTTCGTCCTACTCACCAGGCCTGCCAGTTCCATCCCCAGCCAGGGCGTATCCAAGATCAACCAATGAACGCCGAGGAAGCAGAGCAACACATTGATGTCTCTCTCCCCCTCCCTCTCCTTCTCTGTAAAACCAAGGAAGTACCCCGACTGGTGTGGCTCAGTGGTTGAATGTTGACCTATGAGCCAGGAGGTCACTGTTCCATTCCTGGTCAGGACACACACTCTGGTCCTCGGTTTGATCCAGGAGGCAGCCGACCAGTGACTCTCTCTCGTCAGTGATGTCTCTGTGTCTCCCTCTCACTTCCTCTCTGAAATCAATAGAAATATTTTAAAATGAAATGTAACGAAGGAAGGAGGAGGCAGACTCCTCGTTCCTGCTTTCTTAGCTATTCATTCAGCGTGCAAACGGCCAGGGCCGTGCTGGGCCAGGCCCTCCAGCTGGATGAGACAGGACAGTCACGCTCCAGGGACAGGCTGCGGGAGGGACAGCTGACACAGGCCTCTGTGTGCCTCTAGGCACCTTCCTGGTGGCCCTACTGGTGCTGTGGCCCCGTCCACTCTCTGCTGTGGACCCAGGGCTGTGTGTAGAGTGCTGGGTCCGGCCGTGTGTGTGAGGGCCGCGTGCCTGATGGTCGTGTGCGTGACGGCCGTGTGCGTGCTGGCCGTGTGCGTGCCTGATGGTCGTGTGCGTGACGGCCGTGTGCGTGCTGGCCGTGTGCGTGCCTGATGGTCGTGTGCGTGACGGCCGTGTGCGTGCTGGCCGTGTGCGTGCCTGATGGTCGTGTGCGTGACGGCCGTGTGCGTGCTGGCCGTGTGCGTGCCTGATGGTCGTGTGCGTGACGGCCGTGTGCGTGCCTGATGGTCGTGTGTGTGACGGCCGTGTGCGTGCTGGCCGTGTGGGTGAGGGCCGTGTGCGTGAGGCCCGTGTGCGTGCTGGCCGTGTGCGTGAGGCCCGTGTGCGTGAGGCCCGTGTGCGTGAGGGCCGTGTGCGTGAGGGCCGTGTGCGTGAGGCCCGTGTGCGTGAGGGCCGTGTGGGTGAGGGCCGTGTGCGTGACGGCCGTGTGCGTGAGGGCTGCGTGCCTGATGGTCGTGTGGGTGACGGCCGTGTGCGTGCTGGCCGTGTGTGTGAGGGCCGTGTGCATGAGGGCCGTGTGTGTGACGGCCGTGTGTGTGAGGGCCGTGTGCGTGACGGCCGTGTGTGTGAGGGCCGTGTGTGTGACGGCTGTGTGTGTGAGGGCCGTGTGCGTGACGGCCGTGTGTGTGACGGCCGTGTGCGTGACGGCCGTGTGTGTGAGGGCGGTGTGTGTGACAGCCGTGTGCATGAGGGCCATGTGCGTGAGGGCCATGTGGGTGACGGCTATGTCCGTGAGGGCCGTGTGCATGAGGGCGGTGTGCATGAGGCCCGTGTGCGTGAGGGCCGTGTGGGTGAGGGCCGTGTGCGTGAGGGCCGTGTGCGTGCTGGCCGTGTGGGTGAGGGCCGTGTGCGTGAAGGCCGTGTGTGTGAGGGCCGTGTGGGTGAGGGCCGTGTGGGTGAGGGCCGTGTGCGTGAGGGCCGTGTGCGTGCTGGCCGTGTGCGTGAGGGCGGTGTGTGTGACGGCCGTGTGTGTGAGGGCCGTGTGCGTGACGGCCGTGTGCGTGAGGGCCGTGTGTGTGAGGGCCGTGTGCGTGCTGGCTGTGTGCGTGAGGGCCGTGTGCGTGAGGCCCGTGTGCGTGAGGCCCGTGTGCGTGAGGCCCGTGTGCGTGAGGGCCGTGTGCGTGAGGGCCGTGTGGGTGAGGGCCGTGTGCGTGAGGGCCGTGTGGGTGAGGGCCGTGTGGGTGAGGGCCGTGTGCGTGAGGGCCGTGTGCATGCTGGCCGTGTGCGTGCTGGCCGTGTGCGTGCCTGATGGTCGTGTGCGTGAGGGCCGTGTGCGTGAGGGCCGTGTGCGTGAGGGCCGTGTGCGTGAGGGCCGTGTGCGTGCTGGCCGTGTGCGTGACGGCCGTGTGCGTGAGGGCCGTGTGCGTGAGGGCCGTGTGCGTGACGGCCGTGTGGGTGACGGCCGTGTGCGTGAGGGCCGTGTGCGTGAGGGCCGTGTGTGTGACGGCCGTGTGCGTGAGGCCCGTGTGCGTGAGGGCCGTGTGGGTGAGGGCCGTGTGTGTGACGGCCGTGTGCGTGAGGGCCGTGTGTGTGACGGCCGTGTGCCTGATGGTCGTGTGCGTGAGGGCCGTGTGTGTGACGGCCGTGTGCGTGAGGCCCGTGTGCGTGAGGGCCGTGTGTGTGACGGCCGTGTGCGTGAGGGCCGTGTGCGTGAGGGCCGTGTGGGTGAGGGCCGTGTGTGTGACGGCCGTGTGCGTGAGGGCCGTGTGCGTGAGGCCCGTGTGCGTGAGGGCCGTGTGCGTGAGGCCCGTGTGCGTGAGGGCCGTGTGCGTGACGGCCGTGTGCGTGAGGGCCGTGTGCGTGACGGCCGTGTGCGTGAGGGCCGTGTGCGTGCTGGCCGTGTGCGTGAGGGCCGTGTGCGTGCTGGCCGTGTGCGTGAGGGCCGTGTGCGTGACGGCTGTGTCCGTGAGGGCGGTGGGGAGAGGGTGGCAGTGCTTTGCTCAGGACGTCCTGTTCTCTCTGCAGCGGGGACAGACCGGCTTTCCCGGGGAGGCCCCTCCGGCCTCACCCAGGAGCCACCCCGCGGGTCGCGCTGAGGCGCGTGGGGATCCCGGGCCGGCCGCCGCCCGGCTCGCTCCGAGCCTCGACTTCCCCACAGGAGTTAGGACACACAGAGCAGAGCCGGCTCGGCTCCTCCAGCACAGGCCGCAGGGACCGGACGGGTGGGACGGGACCTGCCGCTCACGAGTGGGCGGCCGCTGCCAGGAGTCTGCCGGAGCAGGAGCCGACGCGCTGCAATCGGATCTGCCGATGTCTGTCGGTGCCGGCATCTCCTGCTGGAGCCGGGCTTCCTGGGCTGAGGGGGCTCAGCCATGGGCTCCCCCCCCATCCCAGCGCTGAGCGCCCCTCAGCCCGAGGTGCTCTCCGATGACGGTCCCGGCCCTTCTCTCTGCCTCCCCCCCCACAGCTCCCCGTGTGCGTCTCTGAGGAAAGGACAGACTGACGGGGCGTGCCCTCGGCATCATGGGAGAAAAGCCCGTTGTCTGATGGGTCCTCTCGCTGAGAAGGGTCTGTGCCCTGTTGACCGTCTGTGTAAATAAGGCGTGTTCTTTTCTTTCTTACTTTCTCTTTATGTTTTTAAAAATACATCTTTAATGATTTCAGAGAGGAAGGGAGAGGGAGAGAGAAACATCCATGATGAGAGAGAATCATTGATTGGCTGCCTCCTGCATGCCCCACACTGGGGATTGAGCCCCCAACCCAGGCATATGCTCTTGACCAGAATCAAACCTGGGACCCTTCAGTCCGAAGGCCGACGCTCTATCCACTGAGCCACACCGGTGAGGGCCTTTGCTAATATTTTGTTGAGGGTTTTGCCTCTAAGCTCCTGAGAGGTGTTGGTCTGTAATTTTTGTTGCTTTAGTTCTCCAGGAACAAGGGAATGCCTGTGTCTGCATCAGACACTTCCTTCCGTTACTCCCACTCTCCAGAGAGGGACCGAGGACCGGTTGCACAGGCTCCGCCTGGTCAGAGGGAGTCAGAGCTGGGATTCAGCACTCACACCATCGGCTGCTGCTCTGACTTTCCATCATTGAGTCACTGTGTTCTGTCTGACCTCCTTAGAATATCGTTGTTGTTTTTTGTAGAGCAGATTTATATTCATAATTATGGCCCCAGGCACAGCCAGTAGGTGCAGTCTTTGTTGGATGGATTGATGAGTGGATGGGTGGATGGGTGGGTGGATGGGTGGGTGAGTGGATGGGTGGATGGATGAGTGGATGGATGGGTGTGTGGATGGGTGAGTGGATGGATGGATAGATGGGTGGATGGATGGATGGATGAGTGGATGGGTGGATGGATGGGTGGATGGGTGGGTGAGTGGACAGATGGATGGATGAGTGGATGGGTGGGTGGATGGGTGGGTGGATGGGTGGGTGGATGGGTGTGTGGATGGGTGAGTGGATGGGTGGATGGGTGGGTGAGTGGATGGGTGGATGGGTGTGTGGATGGGTGGATGTATGAGTGGGTGGGTGGATGGGTGGATGGATGGGTGGGTGGGTGGGTGGGTGGATGGGTGAGTGGGTGGGTGGATGGGTGGATAGATGGGTGGATGGGTGGATGAATGGACAGATGGATGGATGAGTGGATGGGTGGATGGATGAGTGGGTGGGTGGATGGGTGGATAGATGGATGGATGGGTGGATGAATGGACAGATGGATGGATGAGTGGATGGGTGGATGGATCGGTGGGTGTATGGGTGGGTGGGTGGGTGGGTGGATAGATGGGGGGTGGAGGACTGTAGTTTTTTGAGAACAGGCAGTTTCTCCATGGCCCTGGGCCTGGAAGAGGGCTGAGCCACCTTTGCATGCCCGTGGGGATCCTGTGGGGTGAACCATACCTGGGCCCCAAGGACACCCTGTTTTGGGGTTCTCAGGAGAAGCCTGTGCAGAGGTCCCAGGGCGCCCTGTGTTTGGCTTTGCCTCCTGTTGCCAGGCGCCTGGCTCCCTCTGTGCCTGCCCCGCGGGAGGGAGCTGGCCTGCTGCCCTGGCACCTCCTCCTCATTGAGTCCCCGAGCCAGGCCAGGGGCGCCCGGGCCGCCGGCATCCATCACGGCCGCCGCCGGGCCCTCACGGCGCTTTGAGGCTGGGCCAGCGCCCGGTGGGAATGCCCGCTGGCCTAATTGGGCCGCTGGCCGGAGGCGCGGCCGCTGCTGTCTGGACTCTGGTGGCTGCTTCCCCCTCTCGAGGGTGACACGGGCTTCCTGCTCGGCCGGCTCTCCGGGCCACAAGGTCACCCCGTTCTTCAGCCGGCGAAAGGGGCGCCGCGGGGCCCTGGGTTCCTGCCCGCGGCCGCGCGGCTGCCAGGAGGGCCGCCCGGGAGCCGTCCTGCTCTCTGCTGCCAGCGGAGCCGTTCCCACAGGAAAGAGGCCTCCCGGTCCCCATGGCGGCCGGGCCTGCCGAGCACCAGGCACAGCACCTGGCTCTGGGGTCCACGTGTCCACGCGAGGGCAGTCACCCCCAAGCCCACGAGAGACCAGAGAGCGTGTGGCCCACCGCCGTGGAGGGCCAGCCCCCGCGGTCCTGGCCCCGTCTCCCCGCACTGGCCCCTCGGACACCCGGCCCCGGTGAGGTTCTCAGAGAACCGTCCTCCTGGGGGCGCTGCCGAGAGGGCCTGGCCGCCCTCCTCCCAGCACCTGGCCCCCCCTTCTGGCCTGGCAGGAGGTGCCTGTCCCTCGCTTCTTGGATGGCGAGGCCCTGGCAGGCTGGGCTGAGCTCCGGGCTCCGTTCCTGCTCCCTGGAGGGCGGCTGAGCCCCGAGGGACCCCGGGACCGCCCAGCGCGGCCCCTCACTGCTGGAGGGACTGTCTGGGCTCGGCGGGTGTGTGTGTGTGTGTGTGTGTGTGTGTGTGTGGTGGGGAGACAGACTCAGGGTCAGGCCGTCCGGGCGACGCTGGGACTCTGAGCTGCCTATAGGCCCGGGGGCTTGGGCCCGGGGCTGCCCAGCGCCGCCCGGAGCTCCTGAGCGGTGACACAGCGGTGCAGCGGGCTGGCCGGCCGCCGGCCCATGGGGAGGGGCTGGGCTGGCACCAGCTCGTGGGACCGGGGACGCTGGCAGGGAAACCGGAGAGCCTGCCCCCCACCCCCGGCCGCTTCCGCTGCTGACATGTAAGAGGATTAGGGCTCAGAGCCGGACAAGGGGCTCTTATTCTCCGGCTGCACTTTCACGGGCTCAGAGTCCGGGACCGGAACACAGGGGAGGAGGGGCCTGGGCTTTGGGATAGCACAGGGACCCCCCCGGCACCCAGCCATGAGGTCTGCTGAGGCCATGCCAGGGCCCGGGGGTGGGGGTGGGGTGGAGGGGGGGCTGGCCTCACTCAGCTGGTGCAGGGGCGTCCCCCAGGCGGCTGTGGATCCCTGGGGGATCCCAGAGCCCCGAAAGTCAGGGTGGAAGGAAGGTGTGTTGATGACTCCGCCCTGCCCCACAGTAGAGTCCGGAGTTTATCCTCGCGCTGCCCTGCCCACTCACGCAGCCCCAGAGCCCACCTCCATGGACATTTTCCTAGAGGGAAACCGAGGCCCAGAGAGGCCGAGGGGAGCGGGAGGGAGGAGTGGCCGCGGGGCTGCCCGCCCGGCCTGGCGCTGAGGCCGGTGTCGCCGTCCAGGCCGGTGCTGCCCGCTCTGGTTTTCTCCTTCTTCATCCTCCCCCAGGTGTCTCCACTGGTTTTAGAGAGAGTGGAAGGGAGAGGGAGATGGAGAGAAGCACACCGATGGGCTGCCTCCTGCAGGGGCCCCCACGGAGGTGCGTGCCCATGGCCGGAATCGAGCTGGGACCCTCCGGCCCTGGAGGGTCTGTCCCGGAGCAGCGGGCAGGTCCAGGGTTTCTCCGCTGGAATCTCGCGGCCGGAGCGCTTAGCTGAGGCTCCCTCCTCGGGGACAGGCCGGCGTGACTGTCTGTTCCCCTGATGGACGACGGCCCAGCTCATCCATCACCGGCGGGCGGCCCCGGCCTGCTGACCCCCCCCCACCCGTGTGATTCTGGTCAAGGGCACCTGTCTCAGTTGCAGGCTCGTCCCCGGCTGGGGCCCTGGTCTGCAGGAGGCACCCATCCATGTTTCTCTGACAATCAGTGGGAAGAGAAAGAAAAGCAGCAACAAGAAGCCAGTGGGACTGGGGTGGGAAAGGGGGCGGGAGAGGACTCCAGGCTTCACTCTGAGCAGGAGGGGCCGTGGGGGGAGAAGGGGGGCTGGAAATGGGGGAACATCCCTGAGGGGAGCAGGCTCTGGACGGGAGAGCCCCCCAGCTCCCTCTCCCTTCCTCCACTGCTCTGCCTGGTCCCTGCGGTCACCAGGTGCCGGGCGCAGGCTGCCCTCTGCTGGGTGCACCTGGCCCTGTGCCCATGGGCCCCCAATGCCGGCTCCGTCGGGACTTTTTTAAAATGCCGGGGGACGTGGGACAAATTGTTAAAAATCGGGACTGTCCCGCCAAAAGCGGGACGTCTGGTCGCCTTATTGCATTTGGCTCTGTGGACTCATGAGTTTGCCGACCACAACCACTGCCATGAGAGGTGTTTCTCTGCTCCCTCCCTCCCTCCTTCCCTTCCTCCGGATTCTGAGCACCTGTCTGTGCCGGGCGCTGGGCGGGGCACTAAGGCAAAGCTCGCACCCCAAGACCTCGCCGCCCAGAGAACGGCGGTAACGGGGGGGCGGGGGAAAGGCGTGCAGGGGGCGCCCCTCGGGACTCGGGGAAGGCTCTCCAGGGGACGTACAGCCGAGCTGGGACTGGAAGGACGGGAAGGGCATCCCAGGAGGAGGAACTGCATGTGCGAAGGCGGGGAGGCAGGAAAGAGCTGTGGGAGGGTGATGGGGCATCTGCTGGGTGAGGCGGGGGTCCCAGAACCCACCACCTGGACCCTCTGCCTCCTGGACCTCCTTTGCTCCTGGCTGGCTGGCCAGGAAGAGGCCCCGCCCCCCTGCCCCAAAGGAGGCTTTGGTGCTGGGGAGAGGGAGGGAGGAAGGAGGGCCCGCTGGTGTGTATTTTGGGATTGCCTCTCAGACATCTCCTCCTCCTCCTCTTCCTCCAGCTCCATGGCAACCAGGCGGCAGCTGGGGGAGCCACCTGTGAGCTGGGCTGAGTGGAGGGGGAGGTGGGCTAGAGGTGGGGCCCTCTGCTCCCCTCTCTGAGCCTCAGTTTTGGCGTCTAGAATATGGGCAGGCAACCCAGTGGGGCTGCTGTCAACCAGATGCTCCAGGGAGCGGAGGCCCAGGCTGGACCCCTGAGGGGAAGGCCTGGGGGTGAGGGCGGGGCTGGGGGGCGCTGCACCGTCCTGCAGCTGGGGCTGGCCAGGCGGCGGGGAGTCCCTGAGCCCGTGGCCTGTGCTTCCCACCCAGCAGCCTGCCTGGCGCACCCACTGCACGTCACTGCCCAGAGCCGAGGAGCAGGAGGCAGGGCCGGGGCACAGACACAGGGATGGGTCTCCCCAGAGCCCTGCCATGAGAGGTCTGGGTCTCCCCGAGGCACAAGGCTCAGCTGCTCCCAGAACCCAGTCAAAGCCCCAGAAGGAGGGGCCGGGAGGGTCTCTTCCTGAGGCTGCTGCTCTGATGACGACTGACATTTCTTTGGAGAGCCAAGTTTTTTAAACTTCAACTTCTTCTAACGCCACTTCTTCAAGACAGACTCGCCCAGGCCGTGGTGTTTTGTGGAAGAGCCACACTCAAGGGGCCAAAGAGCCCCATGTGGCTCGAGAGCCGCAGTTTGCCGACCACGGGCCTAAGCCAACAGGAACACGAACCTTCTTCGTTCGGGAGCCAGAATCTGAAACCAGAGTGTCGGGGGCGCCAGGGGGGTCCTTCCCACTGCCCACGTGCCCACTTCCAGCCGATCACGTGGCCCCGCCAAAGGCAGTGAGCTCGGAGTCTGTGCTGCCTTCCCGCTCTCCGAGGGCTCGGCCTGGGCAGGCGGCCACCAGGGCAGACCGTCTGCAGAGGGACAGGCGCACAGGCCTCCCAGCAGCGGGGCGCCCCCTGCCCCCGCTCAGCCCCCTGACCCTGCGATGGGAACAGGTGTGGGTCCCCCAGCCCGGCTGCCTGTCCTGGGACGCGGCAGGCGCGCCCGCCATCTGCTGGCCGGTTCCTGTTACTGCAGGAGGTGGAGGCCTCCCTGCCGCCAGCCCAGCCCACCGGTGCCCACGGGGCCAGCCCAGCACCCCCTTTCCATTTCACAGCCAGAGCCAGGCCTGCGCTCCCCTCGGCGCTGCTGTGAACACAGGTGTGCAGGAAACTGAGGTTCTGCTTTCGGTCTTTTTTTTTTTTTTAAACATATTTTATTGATTTCAACAGAGAGGAAGGGAGGGATAGAGTTAAACATTAATGAGAAACATCCATCAGCTGCTGCCTGCACGCCCCATATTGTAGATCGAGCCAGAAATCAAGGTACATGCCCTGATCAGAATCAATCCTGGGACCCTTCAGCCCTCAGGCCGACGCTCTATCCACTGAGCCACACTGGTTTCAGCTAGGGCTCTTTAAAAAAAAATTATTTATTGATTACCGTGTTACGTGTGTCCTTATTCCCCCATTACCACCCCCAACCCCCCCTGTTGTCTGTCCATTAGTTAGGCTTATGCATCCCACTGGACTTTCCAATGCCTAGTTCCATGTTTGTTTTCTGCTTTGTGCCCGGCGGACCCCAGGCCCCTCTCCTCGGATGCAGCCCACGTTTCTAGCACAGCCCGAGCTCGCCCGGGGCGGGCAGCGTGAGGCTTAGGGGAGGAAGAAGAGCCGATTACGGGGGCCTTGAGGGCGCCACTGTGTGGGCTCCCACGCCGCAGATCCGCAGGGTGGGAACTGAACGTGATGCAGCCTCTGCAGCCGCCCGGCCGAGGGAGCGGAGGGACAGCCGCCGGAAGTGCGTCATCATGCGGGCGCCGGAAGCGCCCAGGTCCAGGCGCCTCCTGATTGGCTGCGGTAGGCGCAGCCGGTGTCGCGCGTGCTCCTGGCCCGGGGGCGTGGGTGCTGTGTGCTGCGGTCCCGGCTCCTCTCCGCGGCGCTTTTGCTTCCCGGTCCAGGACGCCGCTCCGCGAGCGCGGGATGTTCCCCGAGCTCAACAACCTCCTCGATGCCTCCCCGGACCGGCCGGAGCCGGTAACGCGCGCGGCGGAGAGGGGCGGTCCCTGGAGCCCGGCGGAAGCACGCGTCCCGGGTGCAGGGCGCGCGGACCCGCGGGAAGGACGCTGCGTCCACCGGCCTGTGTGCCTGGGAGTTGTAGTCCAGGGAGGGCCGACCGGGCTTTGCTGGGCCTCGGGCCCCGCGGGAGGCGGACTTCCGCACCTTCTCGCAGGCCGTGGTGCCCGTGAACGTTCTGGGAAGCGTGTTCGACGTATGGACGGGCTTTGGTTCACAAACGTGTACCGGGGCCCTCGGCGTGCTCACCCGCGTGGGGGTCCCGGCGCCGGGGGAGGTTGCCTGAGAGGAGAGGAAGGTTTGGTTCTCCACCTTCCCAGGGGCCCAGCTGCCTCCCGACCTGCGTGTCCTTCTGGCTCGGGGGCCCCCGCAGGTGGCCGGGATCGCTGCTGCTCCTCCGACGCGTCCCTCTCATGGTGCCTGGACGCGCGCCTCCCAGCTGCTCTCATCCAACGCGGTGCCAAGGCCACCTTTGTGTTTCCCACTCTTCCCGCCTTCTGGGCATTTTTCACCGTTTAGCCCAAGGGGTACCTCTCCCAGGAACATCCCTGGTTTGTTTCATAACCTTTGTCTTCGTGACGCGATGTCAAGCTCCTCCAGCCAGCCAAGAGGCCTCTATGACCACCTAGTGCCAGGCAGATCAGTTTCCATAGATCCTTGTGGATTTCATAGCCGCCCAGCAGTTCTTAGCTGTCCAGGCCTGCAGGTGGCGCTGGCTACCTTACCAATGACTTCTGCGCCACCCAAGTGTTCAGCCCAGGGCCCAGCTAGGGAGTGGGGGATCCCAGTGGGATGACAGCCCTGGGGGTGATCCTCAGGAGCTATACTGTGATCTTCCATGTCTGTTTTGTCTTGAGAAATACATTTTTAAACATTTATTGTTAATCCTTATCTGAGGATATTTTCCCATTGATTTTTATTTATTTATTTATTTAAAAATATATTTTGTTGATTTTGTACACAGAGGAAGGGAGAGAGTTAGAGAGTTAGAAACATCGATGAGAGAGAGTCATCGATCAGCTGCCTCTTGCACACCCCCTACTGGGGATATGCCCGCAACCAAGGTACATGCCCTTGACCGGAATCGAACCCGGGACCCTTCAGTCTGTGGGCCAAGCAGGCCAACACTCTACCTACCTAGTACTGAGCCAAACCGGCCAGGGCATCTCTCATGTTTCATAAGTGAGAAAAGTCACAACAGCACAGAGGTGGTATGTCTAAGCCCCTTGATCTTGACAAGGAACTCGTGGTGGCTGGTCAGAGACGGCATCCTGGGAGGTCTTTCCATGCTCGTGGCTAGAGCTCTGCCTGCTGCAGTGTCCAGGGCCTTCGGACACAGGCCTGTCAACACCACGCCTTCCCTCCTTCCCACCCTCCATGACGGACTCGGCACCAGAATTAGAAGTAATTCTTCTTGAGGAAGCTGAAGTGTTTGAAGGTCCCTCCCAGTGTTGGCAGGCTGAGATTTTTGTTGGATTCTGATGGTAGACGCTTCCTTTGTTAAATATCTCATTCTCCCAGGCTAGTCCCTGAGTTACTAGGTGAGGAGTGAGGAAGAGGAGGGAATTTATTCCCTGTTTTGCTTCGGGGAAATGGAAGCCAAGATATGCTTGCCCATAATGAGTGACTTAATACTGATCACTGTTATTGTTGTTTTTCTCACCATTTTTACTTCCTTTTTTATAATCCTAGAGCATATGTATCGCGCGCACGTGTTACACACGTGTGTGTTACATACATATGTACACATATGAATTACACACACCTACTCTTCAGATGTATACAGCCAGCCGCCCTCTGACTTCCTTTTTGTGTTCCTCTTACTTCCAGGGGAAGCTGACTCTGCTCTGTGACGCTAAGACCGATGGCAGTTTCCTTGTGCACCACTTTCTCTCCTTCTACCTCAAAGGTAAGGGACTCATTGAGGCGACTGAGAGAGAAGCCTGTTTCGGGAAGAAATGGGGCTCGCCGGTGTCGGGGGGGCCAGGTGGCCGTTCGTTAGAATTGGTTACGTGCAGTGAGGTGGCTAGAGCGTCTTTGTGTTTCCTTTATCTCTCTCGGATATAGGACCGGTTTTAAAAGTTCATTTTAGGGGCAATGAGGGGATCAGGGCACAATGTCTTAGTCAATAAAGAAAAAGTTAACTGTACTCCTGTACACTGACCGCAAACAGAAAAACATAATTGTTTAAAGACCAAATTGTATTAAAACAAGGTAGCCAGTAATACATCTAACAGAAGTACATCTCAGAATCAATTGTAAAAGGTACAATTATTAAATATTTCAAAAATCGCATCTGAGAATCGAACTTGGCATTTTAGGTCGCAGGACGCCTGAGCCTCTAGGACGGCCTCGGAGCTTCTGTGTGCAGAGGCGCGGGGAGAGGAGGGTGTGCACAGAGGTGTCAGGATAAGTGTTTTGTCTTCCAGCGAACTGTAAGGTGTGCTTTGTGGCTCTCGTTCAGTCCTTCAGTCACTACAACATCGTGGGACAGAAGCTGGTGAGTATCTCAGACTCGTGGGGAGGTCCCTGAGGAGTGTGCACGCTGCAGGGTTTGGGGCGCGCCCTCCTGAGAGCTTGAGGTGAGCCCTGGGGTTCCCGTGGGGGCGCCGTGGCTCACTCCTGGCTGTGCGCAGGGTGTCAGCCTGACCGCGGCCCGGGAGCGCGGGCAGCTGGTCTTCCTCGAGGGGCTCAGGTCGGCCGTGGACTCCTTCTTCCGGGCTGAGGGGGAGGCCCCGCCCCTGCGGTTCCTCAGGTCAGTGCGCCCGCAGCCCAGCCCGGGCACAGCTCGGGGGCCGGCCGCGTTGCTGTTGCCTCCCCCTCGGGGTGTGGGAGGTCAGAGTGGCTTTGGGCCAGGCATGTCCCAGCTGTGGTGGCGTTCCTGGGAGCCCTTGCTCTGACCCTGGGCCAGATGGTGGGCCCTATGGTGACGGGTTCGGTTTCTGGGAGGCCCGGGGCGGTGGCATCTGGGCTGGCTCCTTCAGAAACAGGTCCATGTCACACACCAGCCGCCCTGAAGCCAGAGCCCTCGCACCAGGACCTGCCCGGCCGCAGGAGCCTTCCGGCCCAGCTCGGGGCCGGGCTGTTCGCTTTGTGCCCACAGCTGGCAGCACAGCGCGGGTGCCGGGGCCTCAGGAATCCGTGTGGAGCACAGCTCACGGCTCGCTCGCCTTTCCTGGCCGACCGCCATACGCCTGGGCCCAACTGGGATCCGCTCTCTGCTCCCCCGCCCTCCCTGGGATGGAGCTCTGCTGACGTCTGCCTCGTGTCCAGGGAGGCCACGGCCGGCAGCCTGCAGCCTCTGTTCCAGTTCGTGCGGGACGCCCTGGAGCCCGGGGGCCCGGGGGCGGCCGGCTGGGCGCGCCCGGTGCTGCTGGTGGACGACCTCAGCGTGCTGCTGAGCCTGGGCGCGGGCGCGGGCGCCGTGCTGGACTTCGTGCACCGCTGCAGGGCCCGCGTGTGCTGCCAGCTGCAGGTGCGCGGCGGGCAGGCCCAGCCCGTGTCCCTCCCGGGCGGTCACTGTCCCTCTGGGTGTGGCTGTAGGTCAGTCAAGATGATGGGTACAGTTGCTTTAAGAATTGTGAGGTGCAGGATAAGTGTGGGTTGTAACCTGCACTGTCAAGCCGTTAGGCTAAACGGGAGACTTTTCCGCGATAGAGATTTTATTTTGTTCTCTGTTAGTCCTCACACGAGGATATTTTTCCATTGCCTTTTAGAGGGAGTGGGAGGGGGAGGGAGAGACAGAAACATCCATGTGAGAGACACATCGATGGGTTGCCTCCTGCATGCGCCCGGACCAGGCCCAGGCACCTGCAGCCGAGGCACGTGTCCTTGGCGGTGGGAGCCGGGACCCTCCGTCCGCCTGCCGTGCTTGGTTTCAGGCAGGTGGGCTGAAAGTGCAGGTTGGATGTCCAGCGGGGATGGAGCCCAGGCAGGGCCCTCCCGCAAAGGGCTGGTCGCGAGGTGGCGCGGAGGCTGACCTGGGAGAGGGCGGGCGGCCCGGTCCTGGTGTCCCGCCGTCAGGAGAGGCTCCGTCTGTCTCGCAGGGAAACATAGTGGCCCTGGTGCACGCCAGCGGGGACGCCGAGGACGAGGAGAGCGAGCTCCTGCTGAACGGCCTCAGCCACCAGAGCCACCTGGTCCTGCGGGCCGAGGGCCTGGCCACCGGCTCCTGCAGGGATGTGCACGGGCAGGTGCGCGGGGCGGGCCGCTTCCTGCGGGGTGACCTCACGTGGGAAGGTGCTCTTTAAACTCGGACCCGGGGGTCATTAGGTCACGGACGGGCCGGGGGTCACGGGGGCAGTACTGGGCGGGGCCTCATCCTCTCCTGTCCTGCAGCTGCGGGTCCTCTGGCGGACACCATGGCCGCCCGCTGCGCGGGGCCGGAGCCTCACCTTCCAGTACAAGATCCAGGACAAGAGCGTGTCCTTTTTCGCCAAAGGAATGTCGCCTGCGGTTCTGTGACCCGAGGGGCGGACCCGACACGAGGGTGAAGCCTCTCCCCTCGCAGCCATGTCCCCGCTGGCCGCGCCTGGCGATGGCGGACTGTGGCTCTGCCTGTCCCACGTTCAGCAGACACGTGTGTCAGGACCCCGCACCCTGCTCTGCCGAGACGGAGCTGGGGAAGGGTCCTCTGAGTTTTCGTGTGACTCGCCACCCCCGTCTGGGCTGTGCCTTGGAGCAGGGTGGGCTGAGCACCGGCAGGGACAGTTCTGATGGCGGGCCTCCTCGGGGACAGACGGGGTCGTCCTGGCTGGCACAGAGTGCGCCCCACATCCTGGCTCCCTGGGCATCTCGCGCAGGTCTCACCTTTGTCTTGCAAAGGTCCTTCCCTGAGCCCTGCTTGCAAGGCATGGAGGCCGGAGGAGGCACACCGCTGACCCCGCCTCCTGGGAAGGGCGGGGCTCCACCAGGTCTGTGGGCCAAGGGCACCTGCTGCCAGAGGTGCTCCGGGGCCGGCAGAGAGAACAGGACGAGCGTGAAACCAGTGCAGGTAGCAGGAAGCCCACAGGCTGCCCACAGGAGAGCAGAGGCCCCTCGGCTGGTGGTGTGGGTGCAGGAGCAGAGGCTGGGTGCGAATGCCCCTTTCTGAAATAAAAAAAAAAATTTAGAAAAAGGGTTATTGCACCCACTTATCCAGATGACTTTCACCAGCAGTTTGTCAGGTTCTATAAAGTGTTCCTCAGACTTTGCCTCATTTTATTAGGTTTTTTTTTTATAATATATATTTTATTGATTTTTTTACAGAGAGGAAGGGAGATAGATAGAAAGCCAGAAACATCAATGAGAGAGTAGCATCGATCAGCTGCCTCTTGCACACCCCGTACTGGGGACGTGCCCGCAACTCAGGTACATTCTCTTGACCGGAATTGAACCCGGGACCCTGGAGTCCGCAGGCTGACGCTCTATCCATTGAGCCAAGCTGGTTTCGGCTATTAGTAGGTTTTTAAATCTTTATTGTTGAGAAAGTATTACATATGCCTCCTTTCCCCCCATTAATCTCCTCTAGCCCACCCTCATCCCCTGGTTATATAATTTTATTAAAACTAATGCAGACATCGACTTAATACCCTCTCAAATGTTTATTGGAATATAACTTACCTGATTTTATTGAATTTTTTTTAATGGTGTTTTTGACATAGTAATGCAGTTGGCTTTTTAAAAAATGTTTCTAAACGTGTAATGATTTTCAGATTGAGACTCAAATTTGTTAGGTATTCCCCCTTTATATATCGTTAACATCTGCAAATAATGGTACACACCTTGCTCATTCCTCCCTTGAGACTTTAGTCAGCACTTGGCAATTTGTGACATGAGAGTGGTGTGTAGGCATTTGCTGTCTAGTTTCTGTTTTAAAGGGAATAGGAGGCATTTTCCTATAATACTTAATTTTAAAATATTGGGTCGGCAAGTAAGTAATTGCGGATTTCACACATATATGGCTTCAGTTGAATTTTTAGGTTTGCAGACGTAGTAAAAATGTAAAACACATTTTGTTATTTGATAGTTGGCTATTCAGCTGTTAATCAGCAAAAAAAGTTTTTTGATCTGTTTTGTAGTTTTCGTTTGGCGTTCGTTGAAAAATGGAAAATCAAAAGGAACATTTTCGTCATATTTTGATTTTTTATTTCCACAAAGGGAAAAACGCATCGCAAGCTCATAAAAAGTTATGTGCTGTTTATGGTGACGAAGCCTTAAAAGAACGGCAGTGTCAAAATTGGTTTGCCAAATTTCGTTCTGGTGATTTTTCACTCAAAGATGAAAAACGCTCTGGTCGTCCAGTTGAAGTTGATGACGCCCTAATCAAAGCAATAATCAATTCGGACTGTCACAGTACAACACGTGAGATTGCAGAGAAGCTTCATGTATCACATACATGCATTGAAAATCACTTAAAACAACTTGGCTATGTTCAAAAACTCGATACATGGGTTCCTCACAAACTGAAAGAATCACAGTTAACGCAACGCATTAGCAGCTGTGATTTGCTAAAGAAACGTAATGAAAATGATCCATTTTTAAAACGACTGATAACTGGTGATGAAAAATGGGTTGTTTACAACAATATCAAGTGGAAAAGATCGTGGAGCAGGCCAGGTGAACCAACTCAAACAACATCAAAAGCTGATATTCATCAAAAGAAGGTTTTGTTATCAGTTTGGTGGGATTACAAAGGAATTGTCTACTTTGAACTCTTACCACCCAACCGAACGATCAATTCTGATGTCTACATTGAACAACTAATGAAATTAAACAATGCAGTTGAAGAAAAGCGGCCCAAATTGACAAATCGAAAAGGTGTTGTATTCCATCATGACAATGCAAGGCCACACACATCTTTGGTCACTCAGCAAAAATTAATGGAGCTTGGTTGGGATGTTTTGCCACATCCACCATATAGTCCTGACCTTGCACCATCTGATTACTTTTTGTTTCGATCTTTACAAAACTCCTTGAATGGTAAAAATTTCAATAATGATGATGATGTCAAATCGTACCTGATTCAGTTTTTTGCTAATAAAAACCAGAAGTTTTTTGAACGTGGGATTATGATGCTGCCTGAAAGATGGCAAAAGGTCATTGATCAAAATGGGCAATACATTACAGAATAAAGTTATTTAGTTCCATGAAAAAATTGTCTTTGATTTTCTTTAAAAAATCCGCAATTACTTACTTGCCGACCCAATATATTATCAAGTCAGTTTAAAAAATAAGCTTGAAGAAGGAAAGGGGAAAGAAATGTTCCTCAACTCCTATTCCCCCCCCTTTTTAAAGTGTATTTTTATTGATTTCAGAGAGAAAGGGAGAGGAGAAAGAGGTAGAAACATCGGTGATGAGAGAGAATCACTGATTGGCTGCCTCCTGCACGCCCACCCTGGAGTTCAGTCCCACAAACTGGACATGCGCTCTTGTTTCCTAGTCCAGTGTTTTTCAACCTTTTTTCGGCAAAGGCACACTTGTTTCATGAAAAAAATCACGAGGCACACCACCATTAGAAAACGTTAAAAAATTTAACTCTGTGCCTATATTGACTATATATAAAGTAATTCTCTTGAATAGGAATCAAATAAACACAAAGAAAGTATTTTATAATTACTTTATTATGAAATATTAAGTAAACAAAATAGTGAAAAATTATAAAATTCTTGTCTTGTCTGCACCTACGGCACACCAGGCAACATCTCGCGGCACACTAGTGTGCCGCGGAACAGCGGTTGAAAAACGCTGTCCTAGTCAACGCTCAGCCGCTGAGCCACGCCTCTTTGAAGGGCTTGACCGGTAATCATTGGCTCCCTGTGGACTTTCTCAGCTTCCTTGAGGTCATTCGTCTGGCTGTGGTTGTGCTGGCCATGGTAACACTCCGATGTATGACCCTTGAATTCCTCCTGCAGTCTTGTCTTACTGGTATTTGTTACATTTTCTATAATCTGCTGTTTGTTAGGCTTAAGATTTTAAAATTATTTTTTATTACAATAGATTGATTGATTATGGTAGTATGCCATCTGTAGTTGTGAGCAAAGATGGCCTCCGATTATTTTTCTCTATTTGTCCAGTCAGGTTTAAACATAAAAATGATACATGCCACGTCAGCAATGTTGAGGAATTGGCTGCCTTTCATATGCTCTGAAAGTCTTAGTGCTTTTTATTCCCAGTTAGGCCTTGCACTGGTCAAGGACAGGCAAGTTTTGGAATTTTGTCTTTTTTATTGGTCTTTATGGTTTTCTTTATTGTCAGTTTTAGTACTATTTATTTTTCAAATATTTATCTTTCCTATTTGTGCTTTTGGAAAAGTACTTATAAGTCATATATACAGTATGAGGCTTGTGTTCAGGATTTCTAACTCACAATTTAATAAGACATCCCGTTAGAAAGTGAGCAAAAGATTGGCACCGACATCTTATCAAAGCAGACATAGGAACGGCCAGCATGCACATACACATAGAAGACTCATAGCCGTGGCTGTCTGGCTCAGTGGATAAGCTTTGGACTGAGGGGCCCTGGGGATGGTTCTGGTTAAGGGCAGATGCCGGGGTTTCGGGCTCCATTCCCAGTTTGGGGCGAGTGGGAGGGAGCTGAACCATGATTCTCATCATTGATGTTTCTCTCTCTCCCTTCCTCTCTCTGAAATCATTAAAAAAAAAAAAAAAATCACACACACACGCGCGCGCGCACACACACACACACACACACACACACACGCCTAACATAACTAGCCATTAGGAATGTTCCTTTTAGAGAATGTTCCTTAATGACAACACAGTTTAGCTAGAATTCAATAACAGCTACAAAATCAGACCATTCTAGGTTTGGAAAGAAGGAAGCATACTTCAATGAGCAAAGGGTCAGTGGGAGAAACTCATAACAAAAATCACTCCCTGCTCCTAAAATGGCTACAGAAACACGACGGGCCCCAGCAGGTTTGGCTCAGCGGATAGACGAGCCTGGATCTGCCTCACTCAGGTGACCACGTCTAAAGCTCAGCCAGCACGCCCACCGGAGAAAGGGCCAGAACCTCCAGGAAGCCACGATGGGCGGGAACAGCGCCGGCTCACCTGGCTGCTATGGTGGAGATGAGCTTCATTAGAGCGCCGAGCATGGGACCTACAAACAGGTGCTCAGTCTAGAGTACCTACATCTGCCGAAACCGGTTTGGCCCAGTGGGTAGAGCGTCGGCCTGCGGACTGAAAGGTCCCGGGTTTGATTCCGGTCAAGGGCATGTACCTTGGTTGCGGGCACATCCCCGGTAGGGGGTGTGCAAGAGGCAGCTGGTCGATGTTTCTCATTGATGTTTCTAACTCCCTCTTCCTCTCTGTAAAAAATCAATAAAATATATATTTTTAAAAAAGAGTACCTAGATCCCTGGCCCGTGTGGTTCAGTGGATAGAGCGTCGGCCTGTGAACTGAAGGGTCCTGGGCTCCATTCCGGTCAAGGGCACATGCTGGGGTTGTGAGCTCCAGTAGTGGGTGTGCGGGAGGCAGCTGATAATGATTCTCTCTCCTCTCTGAAATCAACAATGTATTTTAAAAAAGACTGGTTACTGTGTTTGGAATTGAGACATTTTACACCTGTTCACCAGGATCTTAATTTCGTCCTGAAAGCACCAAGGTCAGTGTTGGCTGCATCCTGAAGCTGGCTCCTGCGGTGGGTTCCCTGAGGCTCTGTCCCCGGGCACGAGCAGCAGCTGCTGGGACCAGGGTGCAGAGCCAAGGAGTGTGCCGGAAGCAGCCCTGTCCGGCTGCTGGCCTCACCAGCTGCTGTCACTAGTGAGGCGACGGCAAAGACAGACCCGAACCGCCACGAAAACCCGCTGTGTCCACGGTGGCCGAGGTGCCTGGGCAGTGGGCTGGAACCCAGAGTCCTGTGGCCACCATGCCAGTTAGTCTCCTTGTACAAACCTCCCCTCTCGAAGTTTTTTATTTGTGAGACAGACCCAGCCCCTTTTTCCCCAAGATTTTCATGAGGATTGGCTCAGTGTAGAAGCTTAAATATAGGGAATTAAGACTTTTTAAGTGTTTTTAATTTTAAAAATATATTTTGAATTTTTACAGAGAGGAAGGGAGAGGGATAGAGAAAAACATCAATGAGAAACACCTATCAGCTGCCTCCTGCACATCCCCTATTGGAGATGTGCCTGCAATCAAGGTACATGCCCTTAACCGGAATCAAACCTGGGGCCCTTTAGTCC